TAAGCCATGTCTAACCGTGAGTAACTGCATTGTGTGCCATTATTGCAGTGGAGTCTTGTCTTTGGACATTAGCCACAGCATCTCTGTGCTGCTAGCAAATCTCACAACCTGACCGGACACCCTGAATAAGCCATTCCTGTATGAAAGACCTGTGTGAATTGAGTTTAAAGATATGGAGAGCAGAGAGTTTAAAGACATACCGGCTCCGCCAAAAGGGACTCCAGCATTGTACATGAACACACACTGTGGCCATAAAAGTTGTAAGTTTCTAGACAAATGAAATTGGTATACCAGAGATGATTTTAGCCAGCAGTTTCCCCTGGAGGGAACATTTGATTTAAGCAAAATTGTTCATCTCCGCAGAGACCTTGAGTTAAGAGGCAGTAATATACCACAGACTCAGTGGGCCACATTTTTTGATTGGCATGAAGAAGCTTTCAAAAGACGTCAAAAATCTCAATTTCGGAGTCTTAAGGACTCCCAAGAGAAAGTGAAATCTCATATAAAGGAACTCACTGCTCCAGCTAAGGAGCAGAAGGGCATGGCCAGCCCTGCTCTCTGGAACAGACAGCCCAGCCCAGACCAAGGCTGCAAAGCATGCTGGGATGGTGGGGTATTCTGATTTAATTTGAACCAAGAGGTCTAGGACAAAAGTTTCATGAACAGGTTTGACCCAAATCAGTGAAGCCTGATACTACATTCAGCCAAGTTTATCTTAAACCAGTTTCAGCCATTTTGAAACTAGCTTATGTACACTGAAGTTCTGTTCTGTTACAGGTTTAAACCAGTTTCTGAAGACTTAAACTGGTTTATGTATAACTTCTGTACCTAGCCCTTGTGACTAGCTTACCTATTTTTGTTCTTCCCCCACTTTTATAGTAGTGTTGAAACCACACATGTGAGTTACTCGAAGAAAGTTTGATTTTCATTACATGCAGAATACCCACTGCATGGCTGGCTTCTATATTACTGATTTATGCAACAGAAGTTGCCTTATCTTCTTGTTTTTCAGGAGAAATGTGCTAAGAAAATAACTTCTGGGTTTTTTTTCCCTTCCAAAAATACTTTAATGTAGTATAGTTAGATAATCTAAACTTCCTATTCTTAACAATACAATGCAAAACAAATCTAATAAATTTTCTGCGGTAGAGACCACAGTTATGCAATAAATCCCTTGTTTCCTTTCACAACTGACCACAACTATGCTTTGGACCCAAATGCTGGCTTCTGTGGTTACATACAAGATTCTGAAATACATTTGGGAAGTAAATATGGGAAGGACTCAGCTGTTCATGACAGAAACTAGGGCCACTATGCACACGCGCAGGGAGGCTGCTCCGATGCTCTGTAATTAGAGCAGACTCGATTAATCAAGTCTGCTGGAGCATGGTAATTACTGCACTCCAGCATCACATGTATCAGCATCCCTGCACTGAAAAATGGCAGTGGGGCATTTTAAAGGTCGTTTGACAAGCTATAGTTCAAAGCTTCCCCCCCATGCCATTTTTCAGTGCAGGGACGCCGATACACGTGATGCTCTGAGCACTTTTAATTAGCGTGGCTCTCGAAGCTGTACGAATTAAAGCACTGGAGTTTTGTTTTTTTTAACAATTTTGTCAGGTGAGTGGCTGACTGTGCTCAAGGAGAAAGAGAAAGGCTCTAGGAGAGATGGGGAGCAAGCAGGAATCTGAGTGAGGACAGAGGGATCTGTAGTGATATAGACTATTTGTTTGGAGTTGCGCAGTTGGCCGTGCTGTTTGGGATATCAGCACTCCAGGCCCCCCTTTGAAGAGGGAAACACCCCCATTCCCAGGAGCTTTGTGAAGTGAGTGCACTACAAATTGCCAGGGAAGCCAGGAACAAAGAGGAGCCAGGGTCTTCAGCTTGCCCCTTGAGAAAGCATGCCAGGGTTGGCTTCAGGGGGTCTTTGGGGAGAGGGAACTGGATATTCTTCTTGGGGAATCTAGTGGCAGAGCTTCCCCTCAGAACAGGCATCTGTAACAACTGAATTTTTCATCATGTTATGGACAAGAGGAAGGAGACAGTTCGTGTTAAAAATGGACATCTACCCAGTGTCCCCATTGCCAGTAACCAGTGTTGCCAAAACACTTTCATAACCCTAACAGGGCTACTGACAACACAGAATACTACTTATTGCCCATAAAGCGGCATGCAATGGTAGTTTAAAGGTCAATTAGAGAAATTAAGGGAAAAAAAACAGGACCAAAGACCCTGGGGCTCAAAGAGGAAGTAAAGATAAACCAGTTTTTAACAGCTGGGAAATCTAACACCAACTGCCCTTGCTGAACACAGCGTGCGTTCTAAGACCATAAGGGGTTAGTAATACCAGAAAGAATAAATATTATGTGAGCCTGACAGTGTCACTTGAAAACAACATGAAGAATGGAAGTCAGTGGCTGGAAAATTAAAGCTGCAATATTTTACACCATTTGTACAGACCACTTAAAATGGGAAATAAATTACAAGTTTACACCAGTTACAGAGAACTATTTTTAAATATGAATATGCACCACTGACTTCTTGGAATGTTTAGCACTTTAGTTAAACAAGAACAAACAAACAATGATAAGCACTTTTTAAGGTTTTTAATTTTAAATGTTTCAAAGATTTTATAAAAGCTTCACGTTTGTCTGCTTGGGCTGATTATACTATCCCAGTGTTCTTTAGTAGAGTAATTTACTGAATCTTTAAGACACCACTGTAGTCCAAGAGCACTTCACATGACATGATTCAAGATTATGTTTTCCAGAAGAGAGGATTCTGTGTCAGACGTCTTTGGAAGTTCTCATACCTAGAAGAGAAGAGTGTGTTGGCATTAAAATGACTTCCAAATTATGCAATTCAAGTATTTGAACTTCCTACCTCACTAGTGACAAGTTAGTGCCTCTCACATGCAGCCAGCTGTGGACCTAAAATGCACTACATTTTAAAAAAAACTTTACAGAACAAATAGACTAAAGTGACACTTCTCCCTGGCAGGTAGTAGGGTCAAAATGAAACTACTTGATGTGGCTGTAATCAGAATAAGAGATTAAACAATTCTTACCAGTTTACAGAGAATGCTTACATTGATCTTGCTTTTAGCTGCATCGAGTTTTCATTTACAATATTAACCCCCACAACAAACTTTCAAAGACATGATTAATTCCTGCTCTGGCCACTGTCTTCTACTATGCTTCTCTTCCAGGGATTTTCCTCCCTTTTCATTTGTGCAGTACATAGTATACAGCAGGTGCTAATAAAAACTCCCACAAGGAATAAAGGACAGATCAGTTATATTTAGGGTTTAAAAACAGTACCTGCATTAGATGATCAAAACATTTAGAAGAGCTCACATACAACATAAGCCATCTTTAAAAACTGTCTAGGTGAATGCTTTGAAAGGCATGTGCCCCAGGCTAGGAACAGCTGACTCAAGGGAAAAGGAACATTTGGGCCATGCAGCCAAATGATTACACTGTGCATGTCTATACTTACAAGGATCTGCCAGTATAACTATACTAGCAATGCCACCCCAAGGGTATAAATATCACAAAATCAAATGGATAAACTGTACCAAGATGTGTCCCAGCACAGCTGATCTGCTTTATTGGGTGAAACCTGTTGATCATGCAGAGGCAATGGATGACATATTCCCTGCTTACAGAGATGCATCTTGGAGATTCCCAGGGGTGTCTCTGTAAGTGGGGAAAGCCAAGCAGGTGCTCCCAGGGTTAGGGAGGCCCAATCAAGGAGGGATTAAAAAACAAAAACAAAAACAAAAAACAAACAAACAAACAAAATCAATGATTACAAAAAATATATATTTAAATCAGACTTAATCATAATTTTTGTTAAGATGCTTTTTGTTTAAAAAATGAATTTATATAGTTTTAAGATATGTTAAAACTCAAAAGATATCATCATGGAATAGGGATTATAACTTCTAATTATATACTATTTGAGATGATATATTCATGTAACCTTTTTAAAAGTTTTATAAATAGGTCACAACAGGCCACGAACTATATTAGGGGCCCAATCTCTTAGGGTTCCCAGAGGCTCCTCTCTAGGCTAGTCAAAATTAAAGAAAACCACTCTACCCAATGGGACTCAGTGCTCAGTCTAGAAGATCCCATTAAGCTTCTCTGTGATGCTTAGTTTCAGTTCTCAAACTGTGGATTTGTGCCTCCAGAGATCATAGACAAGGTTCTTTGGGTAGATGCAATATCTTTTAGACCAGCTAACTACAGGAAGAGCTCTGCTAACCAGCACCTTACATGCCAGCATGCTCTATTAACCGGCATGCCAGCTTGTAAGGTAAAGTGAAACCGGAAGTGCCCACCGTGGTGGGAGAAGCGGCACCTGTTCAGGCCACTCAGTTAACCGGCGTATTTTATTATCCAGCATCCCCCATTCCTGGGTGTTACCAGATAACAGAGCTTTTACTATAGTTGGAAAAATTGTTCTTTGCAATATTTTGGGCACAAAGGTCCGTCTTTAGACATAGGGATAGGTTGCTGTCTCCAGAGATAACATCTTTGTTAGCAGCAGTATATGGAGATAAGAGATAACAGACCTGATTCCCCACTCATCAGCTCTATTGTCTCTCTGCAAGTTTGTATACACAGTCAAGCCCTTACCTTTCTCTGAAAGTGCCAAGTTTCAAGAAGTTGAAAGAATAAAGGATAGCACACAACAAGAATGCACTGTTTGCAGAAAACAATGATTAAATTGAGGCTTCCTGACCAGTAATTTAAGTCGATTTGCTTTAAATCAAACCCACCCTGGGCCTAATCCCGCACAGAAATTCCCGAGATGCAGAAGCAAGCCCCTCAAGCCCTGGGAATGCTTGCTGGGGCAGCTGGAGAGTGTGGGCACCTCCAGGGCTGCCCACACACTCCTCCCATTAAGCAAGTAGATGTCAGCCATGACAAAAAGTGGCAGAAATTATTAATGACCTTTTGTCGCCCCACAAACAAAAGCATTTTTGACATGACAAAGGGCATGGTTGTCTATTTGTTTTTACTTTGTGCTGCCATAAAAATTGTTATGGTGGCGCAAATGTGACATCTGTTTTCAGCCTCAGAGAGACAATTTACACTGGCAAACGCAGCTTAACCCAGTCCCAGGAATGGAATATGCTGAACTCTTAACAAGGACATTTTGCCTGTTTAGCTGCATCTACATTAGTCATTTTAATGACAGCAAGGGCAGCTAGGGTTATAATTTTCTGACACCATAAAAACAACACACATTGTAATGGTAGTTCATACCTAACACACATTAATTCTTGTTGGTCAAAGGGAGCATTTTCTGCTTTCCCATACTAAACAACACTACAAAAGGTAGAAAGACTTCCAGAACAAGCATACTACAATTGCAGGGATTAAACTGCCAGTGGTAAACAAAACTGTTCTTGGGGTAGCTGAGGCTGCGAAACAGAACAGTTACTGACTGCACTGAAGAACTTGTATGTCAGTAGGGAAACAATGTCAAGTCATTTTTTTTGGAGGCTATGAAGGTAAATTCAGTATTATGAAATCTATAATTCCAGTGACTAGAATAAGCCAATTGCTTTGAGATAGATGTTTTCCCTTACCATTTAAGAACTACATTAGCAGGAATGAAAGCTTCAGAGGGATTTGGCGTCATCTGAGCCTGAGTGACAGCAAACGACGAAGCAAAGTTATAGAAGTTATCCAGCATCTTCTGAGTAAACTGAAATATAAAACCTCAAATTTATAAATGAGTACTTAAAACTTTAAGAACACTTTTTACATTTAAAATGCTGAACAAAGGACTAATCAATCCTCAACTCCCACATAAAATGGAGAACATGTTCCTTTCTATGCAAGTGGAGAAAACAAGGTTTATGCTGAGTGAACAAGTCTGTTTTAGAAAGGACTAGATGTAGAGGTTCTAGATCCCGGCCTTGTCTTCAGACTCTTCCTCTCCTGATGGAAGACCTTTTAGATATGTCCAACGCAACGCACCTATTTCTTCACTTCTATGAAACCATATTTTTATAAGGTTTGCTTAAGGAAAATCAGAAGTGACCTCAAGACAGAAATAAGGACATTTTGTAAATCTCTGTGACTATAAGATGACACAATGGTAAGTCTGGAACCTTTTCCTCCAAAACTGAATCAGAAAGAACATTAGTTGATCGTGCCTCTGTGGGCCTTTTATTTTATATTGTAGCCCTAATGGTTAATTCAGGTTCAGTCTAGTAAAATAAAGAGACATTAATCCCACAAGAAATACTACTATTCTAATCATACTACCGCTTATCTCTTTCCTTCAAGTTGCTTGCAACAGTCCCTTTTGTAAATGTGCCCTCCAAGTCATAACTCCTACTGAATTCCTATGAAACAGTATTAAAACTGAAGCAAGCATTTATTTTATATACATGGTATTGGAGAAGAAAAAAAATTTGCAAAAAATGACTTACAGCAATCAAACATCTGGCCAAAGAAGTAGCAGTTATGCACAACTGGTCACAAAATACATAACAAAGTAGCTGGTGGCCCTGACCCAGCAGCAACGCTAGAAAAGGTGGAACTGCTTTGTAACAGTATAGTTATTCAAAGGAACAAAACCTAAGAGCCTAATGACCAGCTGTTTCCTCTGAACAATTAGTACCTGATAGTGTCAGGGCCCCTTTTAAGTCCTGCTTTTTACCTTTATTTCCTGGTTATCCTTCCAGACAAAAAACAGAAGCTTGGGTCTGAATTTTAAGTTAAATGCTTCTGGCATTGTCTCAACTCTTCAACTGTTTGGGAGACCCGATACAGGTAGCTAAGGAAGTTTGGCCTGTCTAGGTACCACCAGGGCCCATGCTGTCCCATGGCAAGGTAAAAACGGGGAATGCAACATAACATACTGTAATCCAGCAAGTAGCCCAAAGTGGAAGATTTTGCAAAAACCCACCCAGAGAGGCCTTAATCCAACACGAGAGGCAAGGATTTCTTAGGGTGACGCCTTTTATTGGATCAAGTTTGACAAAAGCTTTGGAATGCAAGACATTCGTCCTGAGACTTGACAAAGAAGTCTTGCATTTGGAAGCCTGTCTAACTTTATCCCAACTACATAGTTGGACTAATAAAAGACATCATCCTAAGAAATCCTCACCTTTCCCAAAATTGCTGGACCAGCATGGCTACAACATCACTCCTACAGTACCATAACGTGTATATTTAATCTAACACCTGAGAGGTTACAGTTTGGAAGAGCAGGAAGGGGATGGAGGTGCAGCTAGCTTGTTCCACTGACAGGATCACAGGGATTTTACCCTGTCGTCTGAGTTTCAATCCCCATCAGACATCACCCACCTCCCTTCAGTGGATGCACTGAATTCCCCCAGCAGTCAGAAGGGACTACATATATGAAATGGGAAAACGTGCCAGCATTCAGTCAGAGAGTGTAGATAGTTCAGTACACACACACACACACACACACTTATCCAGGTAAATTACTTTTTCTTTTTAAAAGAAGGAAGTTCTTAGAATCTTAGGACTTCATTACAAAAACTGAAGCTAACCCACGGCATTAAGACAAGATAGATCTTCAACTGTTCCTGACTTAAATTCAGTGAAGGGAGACAGGAGATGCTTCATGGGCAGTGAAACATGGATTACAAGACTTCTACGACACTGTCACAGGAACAGGGCTAACTGCACCACTGTCCCCCCTCCTGCTCTTCTGAAGTGAAGCTTCTCTGTGTTAGAATTACATATACATGAAATAGGAAAGTGTGCCTGTATTCAGTAACAGAATTTACATTTTAAGTATGCAGGCCACGGCCATGTCAGAAGTGTACAGCCAAATGAAGAGGGCCAAATTAGGTTTAATAACACAATTTTTCACTGTAACGTTTTAAGTGCCTGCACCAGTTTTTCCAGAGATCTCTGTTCTTAACCACCTCCTACCGAGCACTTAGCAAAACAGCATGCTGTTTAGTTACCTCAGTGAATGAGTCTACTGATGATACAGCAGCACTAGCGACAGGAGTTTGCTGGGCCAAGTTTTCCAGCAATTCCACCGAGATTCCGATCTGGGCTACAGACGGCGTCTGAGGAAGGTTCATTGCACCAAAGGGGTGTTGGCTCCCTTTCCCTGAAAAGAGCACAGCCATCAGACTTGGCAGCAGTATGACTACAGCACTGCTTATGACACCCAGAACTCCTTAGGAATAAGGGCTTTTTTCCTTACCAATGAGAGAGATTAACTTGCCCACAGTATTATGAAGAACTGCACACAGCCTAACGATGCAACAGGTAACTTTAAAATGCAGCTGTTTCTTTATTCTTTCTTATCTACTGAAGAATGCATTGGCAATTGCTAACAGTACCTTTTTGGGAAAAAAAATGTTAAGAAAGAATTAATTATTTTTACAGTCTCCTTTTATGTAAACAAGTCTTCATTTTATCAGGTGCACTGTTTGTAAGTAGGTCTGAAGCATTTGAACTTCTTGCTACTACTTATTAAGCCAATAAAATAAGGAGCCTGACTTCAAACACAAGGGAGTATGATTTACAATAAAACCCAGTTTTTTTAATACACATGACAGTTTCCAGAAAAATCCCAGAGACAAGTAATACAGTTACAGCTTCTTTCGATTTGGTCATTCAAACAGGGAAAAGACAAAAATATTTTGTGCTATTGAACACAACTACTATGTAACGTCTAAAATATTTGACCAACAACCCTTGGGTGTTGAATACATTTTTAGAAGACAAGGTAAAGAAGCCAATACCTTGAACCGCTTTGAAAAGCAAATACACGCAATACAAACACTGGAGAACTTGTATGAAGTTCCTAGCATTTCACACTGCACTAAAAATGTCAGCAACTCTTCCTGAAGTTTGGATAAACTTTCGAACTATTCCTTGTAGACCGCTGCCTAGTAATAGTCTGGACAGAAAGCTGTGTACTGGCACAGTCCACATCAGAAAGAAATGGCCGTAAAATAAAAATACCCTCATAGTTACAAAAGTTATTTGAGAACTTCTTAACAATGTGGCTCTAAAGCATCCTTAAACCGCATCCCTTTTATATAGAAATCATTCTAGCTCACAACACTTTCATCTTTTAACCAGGGCTCTAAAGCCCAAACTCACTTGGGACACTACAAAACCATCAAGATTCACTAATATCTGCCACTCCCTGCTGCCCATATAAGTGATGTCACTGGGATAAGAACAAAGATTTGGGGGAAGGAAGGGAAATACGTTACCATTAGCACGTGAATAATACCCACCACCACATAAGTTTGTAGTCGTATGAGAGTATCTTGCTACTGGGAAGCAAATACTGAGTACCATGCTCTGGACAAGAAAAGGCATAGCTATAAGACATTGATTTCAGGGTCAACACACCAACATATGGCATTGCAGGTTGTAGACAGGTCTTAATGAAAATCACCACTACCAGCTGACCTAATCCAGCTGCTAAAAATCTCAGACAATGAGAGTAGCACAAATCTATGTCCCACCCACATTCACAGAAGTCAAGAGAGGAAAAACAGTTAATTCGTCAAAGGTCTAAGCTAGTAATATGTAAGAAACTGAAAAATGTCCTTCCCAAAAGGAAGCACCTTCAAAACTAAATTACCACTTCTGAAAAGAAGGCACAGTTCAGATTACACTAAATTTTCCCACATACACGTTACTAGCTACTATGTGTAGTATATGTATAGTAGCTATTAAAAGAAAAAGATGGCTCAACTGTCAAAAACATTTACTTTAAGGTTAACCCAGCCCAAACATATCAGCCAAGCTCCTTAGCACCAAGAAGGCAGTTGCAGAAGCATGTCTGAGTCCAACTTGCCCAGCTAAGAGGTTGGGCAATGGATTTGTATGTAATAGTTTGGATAGGGATGACCACTGCCTCAGGTAAGGGGCTGGACAAGATGACCACTGGAGGTCCCTTCCAGTCCTACTTTCCTATGATTGTATGAAATGTTGCTGCCTTCCTCTCCCCCAGTAATTACCTTTTTATCCTATATGGAAAAAACTCAGTATCAGACAAATGTTTTTGTTCTCATCCCACTGCTTTCTTTAATCACACTCCATGACTGAGGGCTTAAAAAATTCAAAGGACTGAAATGATCTGTAGATTTCAATTTAGCAAAAAGACAGGTTAATTTATCAGATTCAGTCCCTCAACTATGTAGTGATGCTTTGTGAAACACCACAAATACTGAAAGTCAATCTATGCTGCAGAGACCAAATAATCCATTAGCTTTATAAGATTAGGCTGTGTAGAAAATAAGTAGAAAATAGCCCCTGGAAATCAGACTTCTAACTGAACACTGCGTTCAAGTTCCAACAGTATCACATTTATCATCATCAGAAATTCCAGAATAAGACAATTCTACCTGCAGAGTCCATTTTGGCTGCCATATTTCCCAGCCGGAGCCAACATCCTACAATAAGCAGTGTTAAGTGGAACGTGTTAGAACATATATTTTTAATATGAAAAAAATCATTTTATTCAAAATTATTTTGAATAAATCAGTACCTTTTCAGTTCCTGAATACATAATAGTCACTCACTACAAACACAAATATTTAACACCTACATTTCACAAACCAAAAAACCTATGATAAAGTACAACTTGTTAAAGCAAGAAAAATAAGTACTCTATGACATCAAAATACAGCCAAAGTCTGTGATGCTTTTTGATTGACAAACTTGTCTGAATTGCACAATTTTCTGAAACCTGCAAGCATGACCAAGAAAGGAAACAGGAACATGCCAGCAATGTCTACTGGAAGAAAATACAGAAGCAGTGGAAGCAGAAGAGTGCAGCCATTAAAAAAAAATAAACTTGGCAAAAGAATTTGGCATTTTTCCCTCAATGTTATCACTGTTTTGAAGGATTATGCCAAAAACTGGAAAGAAAAGGGAAGCAAGTGATGACTCTTGATCCAAAACAAAGGGGAATGCACGGCACTGACAAAGCCATGTTTGTTTGGTTTCAGGATGTTTGTACAAAGGAACATTTTGATATAACACAATGAATTTCAGGCAAATGCTGACTGATGATAGAAATGCATTTGAAACACTCAATTCAGCTCAAATTTGGAGAATTTCAAATTCAGGTCACTTCAAATGCCACAAAGATGTGCAAGCCTTCCAACCTTTCCTCTGGACCTGTATCTAGAAGAATCACCACACAGAGCTCAGGATTTCTAGGCCAAGGAGTTCAGATGGCAAGCACTGGTGTCCAGTATGATTATTCCCTAACTATCCTTGCAAAGGATTCTAAATTCAGTTAGGCACATATGGTAAAAACTGATACAAACATGAGAAAAATTATGCAAACAGATTACAAGAGCAAGCCAAAAAACCCATTTTTTTTTTTTTTTATAAAGTAAGCTGTAGGCACTCTCTCAGGTTTTAAGTGATAAGCCTCCACATCAGTTTAATTAGGAATCCAGTGATATTTAAGTGCTTAGTGCAAACTGAGTGCATTATTGTGTCTGACATTTACAAACAGAACTACTACACAAGGCCTGTTACTAGACTTGTTACATACTGCACTTAAAAGCACATAGAAACAAAATCAAACCTCCTACAAATGTGATCAGCTCACTGCACATTTCACATCCTATTAGTACACATAAAAGTGTATATGGCATGCATTACTATTTTACTCTTCTTAGCACTGCAGAAGCAAAGCAGATTTGGCAAAAAAATAGGATTCTGTTCTGACTTGTTTGACGGACTACTGAATCACATCCCAATGAAGAACGGTTATTATTGTAAAGATGAAGGAGTCAAAAGACCACTGTTATAGCTGTTAAATCCACAGAGGAGCTTGTAGAGCTTGCAGTTAGCTAAAACCAAAGCTGATAGTGACTGAACAATAGAGAATTCATAACGAAATTATATTTATACTCTGGACAGAAAGACCACCAACCTCGAATTTGTGTAATCCAACGCATATATTGCAGCTCTCAAGAGTGCTGTCTACATGATTTCCTAGAACTGTTTCAATCTTATTCAGTTTGGTCGGAATGTGCAATGAAAAAAAATGGCTAATCGAAATAAGCCTAAAAGCAGAGGCTACTGTTTGGCTGGGAAAGTAAATCAACTTCGCTGGGGAGTAAGCACTTGATGAAGTGGTATTAAAACAGCAACACTTTACTTTGTAGCAAAGGTGATGGCTCTTTCTCTCTGAAGAGAACAGTGCCAATGTTTGCTCAGAGAAAGTAAATTGCTTTAATACCTTTTTCCAAAGAATAAAACATTAAATATACATACGAATTCTCAAAAGAGCTCTCAAATTTTGTAACTGAGCCAATGCCATGGTTCACCACAACCTTAACAATCATCTGGGCTGCCACTATCAAGATTATGCTGGTTTTAATGGAACAGCTAGAGAGCTAAATAACACGGTTTGAGAAAAATCGTATCAAGTGGAACATGTCATTGCTGCTTAAATCTTTTTTTGGACACTTAAGGGAGTAGAAATAGCTGAAAGGTGCGTAAAGAAAACTAAAATAGAACCATCTTACATAGAAGACAACTGCATCATCTATTTATTAATTATGGTTGCACAACATGGCATTCAAATGATGCACAGAGTTTAGAAATCAATAGAAAATCCATGTAATTAGAAGAGACTACCCCCTGAATTCTTGGGTCTTTCCCCAGCAATATAAGACATGCAGTAAATACACTATTTAGTTTTCAAGAGGCTGCTTTTATGAAGTCACTGTATCTGGCTTCTAGAAGTAAATGCCACTAGTAAAAAATGAATCTTTGTGCTACAATAAATGTATCTGGTTTTGGCAACATAAGGTAATATAAGATTCCTTATAGGCATTCCTACGCAGCTAATGAATACACAGAGTATGCTTTACCTTCTAGATGCCATTTATAAACAGTCTGTTGAAACAGACAAATGCAAGTTCTCACATGAACACATCCTGAACAATTAGAAGCGAGAAACGCTGCTACAGTTGCATGTAATTAGATACCATTAGTTCTGATCAACTGTGCACACCTCAGACTGAAGGCCACTTCCAACAGAGCTTCTGTTCAAAGAAAACATCACACTGCAGGCAGGAATCTGGACCTCGCATGCAAGAGCACACAAAAAATAAAATTTCTGCATAGTGAGAACAGTTTGAAGTGATAAGGAGTAATCCTACTCGATGTTTTACTTTTCAAATCCTCTTTTGTTTTTTATGCTTATGGAATGACAATAAACGAGGCCAACAGGACTGCCCTGGCAGACTGCATGCGGCCCACAGGCTGCACACTGTGACTCCTTTGCTTAAAATATAAATACCAGGACTATTAAGATCCAGTTGGAGGACAAATGTTTGACTTCCCAAACAGCACTTCATTAGTTAAACGCTCTAATATCTTACTATAGTCATTAGAGAATATGCACACATTTTGCTGCCAGTGATATTGTTTGAATACTATATTTTCCTGCTCTTACCAGATTTTAGACCAGAAATTTTGAAGATGGCACTTGGTTTCTCATTGGTGACGAATCCCAGCAGCTGCCACACTGCCATCCCACTCTGGTCAGGATAGCAGAAATAGACAGATCCTCCCATGCCCTCTGGAAATGGGATGGTTCCCAGCATAAAGACCACTACGTGGTTGATGTTTTCATAGTCAGGCAAATCAAATACAAATTTATCTTCAGCCACCTGTTGTGCCACTGCTTGCACCTGGAAAACAAAACCAAGTTTCAGTTCTGGTACCTGAGTTTTGACTCTATCTGTGAGCCACCTTTTCTGAAATATCAAGCAATTGCAGGGAGGGAAAGCAAGGAATGTGGCAGCTTAAGATTTGTAATCAGCCCTAGAGAAAGCCAAATGCAGCCACACAGCAACTGTGTAACAGGCTATAAAAAAGGAATTTACTTTCCTCATCCCAATGACACAAATGCCACGCCACACCCAGGATATTTCAGCTGTCTGTGTGCAGAAGAGTTTCCCCAAGTTAAAAGCAGGCTGCTCAGCATCGTACAAACCAAACCATGGGAACCAGCTTAGCTAAGAAACAAGACAGGGCTTCATCCATCGAATTCATGGCACCTGAGCCCATGTGGACAACACAGCCATGTATACTCCCTTCCACCTCAACTGAAGTAGCTCCTGCTAAGCACCCGCCAGTCTCAGCCACACCAGGCCCCGCAGCCCCCAAGAAGGAAGAGGGTAGGGGCAGCAAAGGGGCTGCAGCCACTTGCTCCAACCCAGCAGCAAGTTGCTGAAAGAAGGAGGCAGAGCCAGGCAAGTCCTTGCACGAAGGGCTGGAAGCAGCGAGGGACTGGATCAGGGGCTGCACTGCCTCCAAGGCCAGGAGGAGGCAGAGAAGCAGGGGCAGAAGAGCCCAAGCTGCCCTGCCCCATGAGCAATGTGCTCCAGCCCCCTCCCCCATCAGTGAGGTCCCTCAGAGCCCCCCCAAGCCTGCCCCTCCTTGTGTGTGACAGCTCCTAGGCCCCCCAAACCCCTCCCCCATCAGTGACGTGCCCCACCCC